ATACTGTCTCATGGAGTTCTTTGGGCTGAACCTGACACTAACACAGCCAAAAGACTTGATAGGCCATCACAGGGTGTGAAGCAGCAGCAGCAGCCAACCTGGACTACAAATCAGGTTCAGTCCCAGGAAGGGTAGAGGTGAGTGTTGTGCTGGGGCCACCCAACTGAGGGCAACTCCTGGGCAATGGGAAAGGAAGAACCCTAGAGGCATAGTCTGCAAAGAACTCAGAAGCTTCTTTGTCATGCAGGAGGGTTATGAACCTCAGCAGCAGAGTGTGGGTGGAGAAGGCCACATCAGGAGCACATCCTTGTTCCTACCTCTTCCATTCAGGAGGCTCACCTCCCTCCCAGACAGGTCTGCTGAGATTTGCTGAGAGATGTTATGGCTGTTCTCCACACCGGTCTCTCCTTTCCCAGAGTAACCATTCTCATGCATCCAACTAGTGGTTGCAGAGCATGAGGGGCCCTGAGCAACGCCAGCATCATCTTTCTTTATTTGTATTTATTTATTCAAATTTGTTATAACCACCCAATCCCAATGGACTCTGGGTGGCATACAAAACCAAAAAATATCCATAAAGCATCTTGCTTTTCTTCCATCTCTGGCTGGCCAGATGCAAGGAATCAGACAGGAGAGAATTTAAAGGCAGAAGGCAGTGACCAGATTATACAATGTGGGAATGCCATCGAGTATGGCTGGCAAGCGAGTGATGAGGCATGTGGGGTGAAGAGCAGTAAATTTTACAATCACCCTTGGAAATTCAAGTTGTGATACAATCCAGTTTGGATTATGCAAGCTTGGCTTGAACATGCAAAGCTGGATCACTGCCAGACCATTCCCATTCTGCCTGGACAAGCTGATCACCAGCATCTTCAGGCACAGTGTGAGAGTGTGCAAGACCCCCGCCTCAAATCTGCTTGCCACCTCCTGGAGGTCACAAGTCACAGTTTGAAAACCCCTGCCCTAGACTGAATTTCTTCGCAGGAACTCAGTTTCAGCATGTCCAGGAACTGATTCATTATTTGGGTGGAAGTACGACATGAAGGCTGAACATCATTAGCTGAAAATTAATTCACTGCTGAACTGACCATCCTTACCTTGAATTTCATCAGCAAGACTGAATGACTCATTTTAATGCATCCCTCAAAAACCAATCAACAAATTGCCCAAGAATTTTGTTTAGAATGAATTAGCCCAGATATGTTAGTTTGTTGCAACTCCCCCCCCACACACACACAAACAAGCAGGGTGACACATCAATGACTCACACCTTTATTATGAAATAAACTTAATGAGGATTCTTATGACTTTCTTCACTCTTATCACTTTATGCACATTCCTTCCAGAAGACAGGATTTAGTTTAGAAGCACCATGCTTGACTAAAAGAACTCGGCACAAAGAGGCAGACAATCACCAGAATAAAACACAGTGCATGCAGCTCAACAGGAAAATTTAAGAAATTCTGCCAGGTCTGAAGGCTTTATCTGGGGCCCTGAACATGGAGATGATTTTTTTTCCCTGTTACTATTAAGACAATTGGGCTTCTTTTTTCAAGCTAAGGCTATCAGCTCTGGGCTGCAGGACCTC